TTCGGCAAGGCTGTGTCCTGTCGCCCATCCCCTTTAACTACGTCATTGACTGAGTTCTCGGGAAGGCCCTACAAGAGAATGACGGTATTGAGCTTGCACCCGGACGCCGGTTGACTGACCTCGACTATGCCGAGGATATCGCTTTACCAACTTTAAGCTTAGGTGATCTACAGTCTATGGTGTCACGGGTGAATGAGGTCGCGAAATCAGTCGGCATGTGCTCTAAATTCCTTCAAGAGCAAACTTGGCACACATCAAACTACTCACCTCCCAGTTGTACGCAAACCAATAATATATAATTATGCTACTCTTAATAAGGGAGTAGGTGGGAATATATATATTTATTTTTGACTTGCCTATGGCTGTCAGGCTTTCAACTGCAATCATGTAAGAAACCTCTTTTTCGAATGTTCCTAGCCACTTTGTAACTAATAGGGGCCTCAAAGGCGTTCGCCTGCCATTACCTTAATAAAACTGTATTGAAAGTGTCCGAGACTGGTGTTTTATCGAAACTTCGCACGAGTCCTTTTCTCATATAAATTCTGCTTGGTTGGTCATTTTAGAAACTACCCGACGTTTGAACGAGTTCAGGCAAAAATTCGTGAAACCGGCTATCGGATCCAGCGTGGCCAAGTACTCCTGACAAAACAGTTTGGGCAAGTCTGCATTATTGTCCTTATATCAACGTCGGTGTCATTTCGATTGTTGTATCTCACGATCCTCACCTTGCCTGTGGCTTGTCACAGAAGTGCGTGTACACAGCCGGTGACTTGCACGTGAATTAGTCTATAATGATAGAAGAATTCCACAATATGAACCGCACAGTTTATGAATAAAAGAGTTGAACAAGGTTGGGTTAACCACGTAGTCTAGCTGCCTACACATTTCACGCTTCTCCCCTGGTGTGCAGGCTGCTTCCAAGTTGATGAGTTCGACCGTCGCTTTTGATGAAATCTAGAACGGGGTGGCGCGGCCATGACATGCGCTAACCGAACAATCAGCAGTGGTCTACAGCATACCGTGCAAAAATTGCGATGCTAGGTATGTTGGTAAAAGGGGAAAACGCTTGGGTACAAGTTTGCACGAACATCAACTTGCAATCAACCGAAAAGACAGGCTGTCTTTGGTCTACAATGAAGTATAGCAGGTAAACCACGACTTTGCCTTTGAGAAAGTGAGGGTGATCGGCAGAGCCAATGAGAAGATGGCCAGACTAGTGCTTGGGCACACTAAGCCGATCCCTCGATTTAAATCCCCTCTACCGGGCGCTGTTCTGGATAGGGCGAAAGAGGTTACGCCCGGACGACAGCCGGCAGCTACGGAGGAAGAAGGCGGCAGCGATCTAGAGTCACATGACCGGCGTGGCACGCTTACTCATGGAGACACCCGCGAACACCAAGGGCCGATCGATCCACCGCCTGGCTAGGGGGAAGGGGGGCCGGTGAGCAAGCTGATGCCGCGTCAACCACGATAGCGACGAAGAGAACAACGGAGACGTGGACTC